CCCTGGGTTCCATCCCCAGTACCAAAAAAAAAAAAAGTAAAATAGAAATTGATAAGTTTACTTTAAAAACATCTTGCATTGATCTGTGCAAAGCCGGAGAAGGAGCTGATCAGCGCGAATGACTGATAGAACATGTCCAGCAGCCGCAGGAACTCTCGGTCTTTATAGTCGAAGCGTTCTCCAAAGACGATGGAGCAGATGATGTTGGCGGTGATGGACTGGAAGAGGAAGGTGGGGTCCACGAGAGCCCCTAGGAGGAGAAGGGGGCAGGTCACAGGTCACAGATTCCAGAGCCTGGGGACAATTGGCTGCTGCTCGTCTCTCTGGGATTGTCCACCGCTGATCAGTAATAAAAGGTAAGAATATCCATACAGAACCCACTTGCTAGCACAGCCTGTATCAGGCTTTATTCCAAGCCCTTTGCATATTTAGTTTTCACCAGAACATAGTAAAAAAAATGCAATTCTACTATTATCCCCCACACACTGTAGATGGACAGACAGGTTCAATAATTTATTCACAGTAGTTTCTCATTACAAGGGCAGAATTCAGACCCAGAATTCAACCAGTGCTGTTGGCCACTCCCCTGCCTCTCCTCTGGGACCCATCTCTGACTGTGTGACCTCCTAGAATCAAGTCCTTGGGGCAGGGCTGCAGAGCTGAGCTCCATCAATGCCTTGTGCAGATTTAGAAGCCCCAATGGCTGCACCCCTCACTCCCACACCCAGGTAGTCTCTTCTCTCTACCCCGAGGGCTCTCTGGTCTTGCTTGAATCATTCTTCACTTGCTCACTGAGGCCTGTGCTTCGCAGGTGCAGTCCTGGTCTCTGAGACTGGGAGGGAGGGGGCTGGGAGCCCAGGAACCTCAGATGAATGCTACCCCTCTCTTTGGGTCTCACCTGTTTTCTCTCATTCCTCTGCAGACTTTTCTCTGAAGTTTGTCTGTCCGTCCTTCTAATTTTCTGACTCGGTTTCTCTCTCTGCTTTGTTTTTTTGCATACATACCTCTCTGTCTTTCTGTTGCTGTGCACCCCACATCCCTCTCTGTTCCACCGTCTTTCTTTCCTGTGCATCCCTAGGCCTCACCCTTGGATTTCCTCAGCTCCTCCACCAGACACTGAGCCTCCTCCTGAATCCGTTCCTCAATGCTCCGCTTTCCCATCCCGAAGTCCCTCATGGTGGCCAGAGAGAATCTCCGAAGGGTTTTCCAACGTTCTCCATTGGCAAAGATCACACCTGGGGATGTAGGAGAGGCGGGTTGCAGAGGAAGCTGGAAGGAGTCTGGCTCTGTCCCCACCCCTTGTCCTCCCTTCTCAGACTCCACTTTCCCAGGTCCCATCTTCCATCCCACCCCATCCCAGGGACTTCTAGGTCCTCACCGTATCCCTGGAAGATTGGCTCAACAATAGATATTTTCCCCCGGCCAGAGAAATCCTCAGCTTGGTCCACCAGGGCCTCCCGTATGGCCTCTGTCCCACACAGCATGACCACAGGCCTTGGTCCCAGGTACACGGTGAACACGTCGCCATATTTCTCTCGAAGCTGCCAAGCACATCCACACCAGGGTTGATGTTAGTCCGTGCACACCTCCGTTGTTAACCATGAAATGCTTAGATGCAGATTGGTCCAGAGGTGTCTCCCACAAGATCCTTCTCCCTCAGCCTCCAGCTCCCTTCCCAGGACCCAGCCACTAAGGGGTCAATGCACAGTCCAGGCAGGTCCACTCTGATTGGCTGGGCCCTAAGCATCCACATGCTTCAGTATTTCTAATGCCATCCTGCCTGTGCCCTTGAGTCTGGCCACATCTCCTGCGCCTCTCAAAGAATCTTTCTGTGACCCAACTGCTTTCCGCCTCCTGACCATTTCCTAAGAGGACGACTCTGACCCACCCACTTGGCAGATGTGAAGGGTCTTCTAATGATGCTCATGAAATGGTAAAAGCCATCATATCTGTACAGCTTGGGAAATTGCTAGGCTGTGCCATTACCCCCTTGGCGTCTATGGGAATTGGTCCCAGGACCTCTGAGTAATACCAAAACCCTGAGATGCTCAAGTCCCTAATATACAATGGCATAATACTTGTGTATATTTTCATCCTTCTATATACTTAAGTCATCTCTAGATGACATATACCTAATGGAATGCAAATGTTACATAAATAGGTTGTATTGCTTAGGGAATGATGTCAAGAGAAAATGTCATTACATATTCAAAATGAACACAACTTTTTCAAGTATTTTCAATCCACAATTTAATGGACCTGTAGATGTAGAAAATAGAGGAAAACTTTGTTTATTAAAGTTGATCACATGCCTACTCTGCAACTTCATCCCTCAATACTTGCCCAGCAAACATGTTCATCAAAAATATCAACCACAACATTCATAGAAGACTGCTTGACACAATGTTTATCAGTGTAGATAAAGAATAAATCCAATGACAATTTCTAACAATTGAACATTATGCAGCATTGACAAAGAACAAACTACAGCTACTACCAATAACTTTGGAAAACTCACAGACACGTTGAATGGAGGCAGCCAGCCACAAAAGAAAGTGATTTTACACTTACATCTATTTACATGAAGTTCAAAGACACAAAGAAAACCAACCCAGAGTGTCAGAATAAGTGGAAAGATAGTGACTGGAAGGGGACATGAAGAAGGTTTTCTGGGGACCAGCCCTATTGTTACTTGATCTGTAAGTCAATGATATAAGTGTGCTGTTTGTAGAAATTCATTAAGTTGTGCACATTTTAGGATGAGTTAAACAATAAGAAAAAACTTGACTCAAAGAATCATAAAAATGGCCAGGCGTGTTAGCACACATCTATAATCCCAGGGACTCGGGAGGCTGGGGCAGGAGGATTGCAAATTCAAAGAGCCTTAGTAGCTTAGTGGGGCCCTAAGTGACCTAGCGAGACCTTATTTCAATATAAAATATATAAAGGGCTGGGGATGTGGCTCGGTGGTTAAGTGCCCCTGGGTTCCATCCCCAGTACCAAAAAAAAAAAAAGTAAAATAGAAATTGATAAGTTTACTTTAAAAACATCTTGCATTGATCTGTGCAAAGCCCCCTCACTGACTTCTCTGCTTCTACTCTTATGCCCCTTGATATGGTTTCGCCATTCTCCAAGCCACAGCAACCCTATTTAAGTGTCATTTAGTTAATATCCCTGACCTTCTCCAAGTCCTCCATTGTCCCCATGTCACTGAGAATGACACCACAGTCTCCATCCTGGTCCACTCAGCCGCAAACCCTGTGGTCCCCCCCATTATCTGACTTCTTCCCCTTGCCCCTTGTTCGCCCTGATCAGCCTCCGTGCTGTCCCCTGAGCTCGTTCCTGTTCAGGTTCTTTGGACACCACCTGCTCCCCCTGGTGCCATAGCTCCCTCTGCTTCTTTCAGGGTCTATTCCAGAAACAAAGTAGGACCATGTCTATTTCCTGACCATGCATCTAAAATAATCTCCCAGCACTTTCTAAAATATCACACTGCTTTATGTCAATCATAGCTCATGATTTCACCTTTTTTGTTAATTTCGCCCTTTTTTTTGTTAATCTGTCTTCCCCCTGTGTAATTTACGGGAGCATAGCGACATTGTATTCTCTTTAAGATGCCACATCATTCATGCCTGGAATATCCCTCAGCACACACAAGGTGCCCTGTGAATTTTTTTACATATATATTTTTAATTTATCTTTTAATTGACAAGTGAAGTTGTACATGCAGCATAACGTGTTGACATCTGAATACGTTGTGAAATGTATTCATTATTACCTCACACACATCACTTTTTCATGGTGGGAACCCATAAAAATCACCTCTCGTAGCTATTTTTCCCGTGCCATATATTGTTAGTAACTGTAGTCTCCAGGAAGAACAGAAGGTCTCTGGAACTTATTCTTCCTGCCTAACTGAAATTCGTATCCTCTGACCAACTTCTCCCCAGTTCCCCCAGCCTCTGGTAGTGTGCAGTCTACCCTTCATTTGAATGAGTGTGACACTTGCACAATCCACTTACCATAAGTGTGATCATGCAGTATTTGTCCTTCTGTGCCCCACTTATTTCGCTTAACATAATGTCGCCCAGTGATGGACACCTCAAATGACAGGATTTCCTTATTTGTAAACATAATTTGCTTCATTTCCATCCCCAGTATTTTCCCTATCCTTTCCCCTCTCCATCCCCTGGTTCTCTTCCTCTACTAGTCTTCCTTCTGTCTGTTTATTATTTTTAATTGGTTCCTTATACATAAAAGTGGACTTCATTGTGATGCATTCATTCATTCACACAGCATACAGTCATGGGGTCCTTGACAAAGATTCCCAAACATGAGCCTTGGAAAAAAGTCTTTTGAACAAAGGGTGCTGGGGAAACAGGATATCCATTACGTGGAAGAATGAAACCATATCTCTATCTCACCCTGCATAAAAATCAGCTCAAAGTGGATCAAAGGCCCTAGGAATTAGACCAGAAACGTTGAAATTGCTAGAAAAAAAAAAAAAACAGGGTCAACACTCCAGCATATGGGTGCAAACACCAATTCCCTTAATAGGACTCCTTAAAAATGCTGCACCTGGGTTGGGCCTGCAGCTCAGTGGCAAAGCACTTGCCTTGCATGTGTGAGGCACTGGGTTTGATCCTGAGCCACCACATAAAAATAAATAAAGATATTGTGTGTTCATCTACAACTAAATATATATATATATAACCACTGCACCTAGGCCCAGAAGCACCCTGTCTTTATGAGGCCCTACAAGAACCTGCTCTTTCAGGAAAAAAAAAATGCTTTAAGTTCCATGTTTTCTTAATTATTCCCCATCTTTAATACGATGCCTTCTTGTGTCACTGCCTTCCAAGGAGACAGCTTGTTCCTCAGAGGCTCCCAGGTTAATGGGTACTGACATGTCTTCTTTTTTAATGTTTATTTTTTTAGTTTTAGGTGCACACAATATGTTTATTTTATCTTTATGTGATGCTGAGGACCGAACCCAGCACCCTGCGCATTGCCAGGCAAGCACACTACGGCTTGAGCCACATCCCCAGTCCCCGGACATGTCTTTACCACAACCCAACCCCCAAACTGGCTCAATCTAACAGGGATCTTATGAAGTTAATATTCAACTACAAAAAAAAAAAAAAAGCACCATCAGTGGCGAAATTTAAAATGACAGAATGGACTTCAGGGGAAGAGATGGCTGCAAATAATCTTTCAATTCAAGGAAATTTCACCTTTATGTACAGGAGGGAGGAGGGGAGGAAAGAGGCAGGGATGGGGATTGAAGTCAAATTCCTTGCATTGGGCTGGGGTACCGTCTCAGTGGCAGAGCATTTGCCTAGCACCTGTGAGGCACTGGGTTGAATCTCAGCACCACATAAAAATAATTAAATAAAAATAAAGTATTGTGTCCAACCACAACTAAAATTTTTTAAAAATTCTTGCATGTATGATTTTGTCAAAATGAACCCAGATACTATGTATAATTATAATGCTCTAGTGAAAAATAAAAAAGTCCCTGGCCAAAATAAATAAATAAATAGATTCCTAAAAGCTCAAAAAATCAATAAATTGTATGGCCTTAAATTAAAAATTTTCTGTACCACAAAGGAAATAGTTAAGAATGGCAGAGAGAACCTACAGATTGGGATTGGGGGGGTGGGGTTTGGAATCTTTCCCAGCCAGGCTTCCAACCAGAATATATAAAGAACTCAAAAAGCTTAACACCAATAATAATAATAATAATAATAACCCACTCAGTAAATGGGCAAATGATCTGAATGGACACTTCTCAAAAGAACAAATACAAATGGCCAACAAATATACGAAAAAAATGTTCAATATCCTTAGGAATCAGGGAGATGCAAATCAAAACTGTACTAAGCTTGGTCTCAGCCCTGTTAGAATAGCAGTCATCAAGAATAGAAATAATGATAATTGCTGATGAGAATTTGGGGGAAAAGCTACACTTACACATTGCTGATGGAACCATAATTAGTACAACCACTTTGGAGACCAATATAGAGGTTCCTCAAAAGACTAGGATTAGAA